CTTTTTGACTCACTTTTGCCGTGTTTCAGTTCATGGGTTGTACCCGACATAGACCATAGCATTTTTTGGCCGCATGAGTAGGTGTCTACAAATTGGGACAGCCTACTTTGCATGACGGTGACATAAGTGGCTGAAAAATGTGACCGACATCAGCTGCAACCCATGAATTGAGACACACCCAATGTCTTTTGTTCCTGCTCTGCCCCAAAACTTATTCACTCTTCTTCTAATTTGTTTCCACTTCATCAAACTCATCTTCCTCCTCCAGGTGCGTCTGCTGTATTGCTCCCTGGAAGAAGCTGAGCTGATTTTCCGAGCAGCGTGGGCAGCGGGTCAAGCCGGACCGAGTCACATGTGGTTTGCCGTAGGTCCGGCCCTKTCCGGGCTGGGCCTGGAGGGACTTCCGAAGGCCTTGTTTGCCATCAGGCCTCAGGGATGGAGGGACGAGCCCCGCAGGTACAGAGGAGCCTCAGAATGTCATGGTTGTGCTGGTTGTGGGTCTAGAAATGTTTTTAATTGTATTTTTTGCAAGTTTTGAGTTTGAAATTACACTTTTTATTCAGTTTTACAAGATAAATCTAAATGAAAATGGACAAATAAACAATTCATTACAATCACACTGAAAAAAAGTGGTGCTAAAAATGTAATTATACAAAGATACAATATTTCTTSTAAACTGCATCATGTTTATTTTAATTGTGTAAATTAGGTTTAGTTAGTGCAAGGATCCAGTATTTATGTTTCTGCTGCAWTATCTTATCATTCCTGATAACCAGAAAAAAGAGCATCTCTAAAACAACTTTAAAAATGGAGCAGAAAAAAAAATCTCCACAATTGCAGAGTTGCGTTTTCGTGTCTTTTATAAAACTGGATTGTCATTACTTTATTCTCTGATTCCACAGATCACATTCTGCAAGATAAAGTTATTATTTTTTATCACAAGTTCATCATTTTCTGGTCCGATCAGAAACCTTTGAAGCAGAACCGACATCAGGAACATTCACATCATATCTGCATGCTTTTTCTTTCAGTTTCTTTGTTTCTTCTTTCTCCACAACAGTTTGGTTTTGGATTTTTTTTATTTTTATTTTGATGGTTCTGTCTGTAGCTTTGTTTTTACTTTTTTAATATTTATTCTTTTTTACACTGTTTTTGTCACTGCGTTTACTTGTAAATGTATTGTTTTTAGCTTTATGTTTATTCACTTCCTGGCAGTTGAAACTCTCAACAGGATGGGATCAGGATCGATAGTAGTTTATTAATTTTACATTATAAATAAGAAACATCATGCACAGAGAGGTGATGAAACTATTTGTTGAACTTTTTTTTTTCCTTTTTTTACGAGCTGGTGCTGTTTTTACTCTGTCACCTCATTGAAGCTGTCTGCTAATTATTTACTGATCTATTATTACATTTTCATAAAACAGAAGTTATTTTTATTTATCAAGGTCATGAGTAAATTTAGAAATCACACTTTGGTGGTGTTTGGACAGTTCTTGATTTAGCAAATTAACAACAACGACTTTAATCATCCCTCAGCTGTTCAGCCAATCAGCTGCTAGTGATGCTCACAAACGTTCATGCAGCTTTTGTAGACATTCGTTATAAACAAGCACAACTTTTATTTCATTTATTTTCCAGCCTTGATCTCGAGTCAAATCATCCTAGACAGTTTTGTGTTTTTTTGTGTATTTTATTTTTTTTATTAAATGCTTTTTGTCATGCTTTAAAGTTTGAAATCATTTTTGAGTGTGAAAAGCATTTTTTATTAAACTTATCTTGGGTCGCTGCCTTTCATAACACAAAAATATGTTCCTTTTGGAACAGGGATGTCCAAAGTGTGGCCCGGGGGACATTTGTGGCCCCTGAACAGATTTTGTGTGGCCCCTGACTTCAGTTCAAGAATTATTCTAATTTGTCTACAAATTTGTCCCCCTGGCACAGGTGTTTGATGTAGATGGCGACTTTAAATTTAGTATTAAGGCAAATTTATCACAAATTAAAATCTTATAATAAAAATGGCAAGAAAACAAATTATTTGTCTTTAAATAACCAGATGCAGCTTTTTCCAGATCTATTTAGTGATTTCTACTCAGAAGCTGATTTTGCTGCATTTAAATCTGCTTTTGATTCATTTATTAAATTCATCTGAACACAGCAAGCATTTTCAACAAAAGAGTGACCTAAATCCTGATTTTATTSATCAGAATTTACTAAACTGGGTTATTTTTTCCCCAATTGAAACCTAGAAAATTGCTAAATTTCTTTCAATAAGGGAAACCTGCAAAACAGTTTTAAAGTTGTGGATCTACATTAATTTACGCGTCCATTTCCAGCAATAAATCTTATTACTGACTAAGTTTAATGAAAGTTTTCAATGCTTAGTTTAATGTTGAGCAGGTAAAAGAAAATATTATTGGCCCTCAAGTCTTTCTGACTTTATAATTTTGGCCCATGAGACAAAATGTTTGGACAGCCCTGTTTTAGAACATTTCACCAGCTTAGCTATGATTCACAAAGTTTATGGACCAATTCAGTGCCCCCATGAACAGTTTGCAACCTTGTTGCATTTTCAGATTTATATGCAACCGTTCAGTCGGCTGTGACTCAGGTCCCCTCGATCTTCTCCTGAATTCCCCTGAAAGTCAGCGGTGTCAGAAAGGACCTTTTAAAAATTCCCCATTATCACATTGTTCCATTGCTGATCCTGCAGGCGGATCGCCAAGGGAGTTTCAGTGCTCACTCACGGTGCCATGGCTCTGTGGAGGGACCAGGGGGCCAACAGCCGGGCGCAGTACGCTGGCAACTGCCAAAGCGACGGTAACCAGACCCACCGAGTGCCAGACCGAATCAGGTGAGCGGGAGGGGAGGAGGGCAGAGAATCTYCGGGCGTGGGTGCTTTTCATAATGAAGTTTCAGCTCGGAAACTAAAGTGTGGCTCGCAGCTTTAACAGAGCAGACGCAATAACAGAAAACCCGAAGAAAATAGTCAGTGTTGCCTGAAAGGGGACTGATTCTATCAGGAGAAACTCAGCATGGTGACTCCTGTTGTCTCATGTTGATTTGGTAAACTATTGTTATCTGAAAGGTGGCGAAAAGTGCTGCTTGCTTTGGATTTATAGCTTTCAAATCCTGCACAGTATGCTTTATTAAAAGAATAAAAGAAGAAGCCCTGTGAGAAATACTGGGCCTTTAATGTACTTTTGTTCCTAATACCATAGCTTGTTTATTATTAGTAAATTAATAAAACAAAGTGGTACACTTTACACTCTGACGTTTTTAATGCCACTTTTTAAAAAAAATCTACAAGAGTTAAAACACACATTTACTGTTTACATTTTAGAGAATTTAATGTTCGTTCCAGCGGGACTATAAATATATGTGAAAGGAAAACGGTTCAGGTTTTAACTGCATGCTTGATTGTCTGCTGCTCTTTTGGCCCAATCCCCTCCGGGAACTGTTTGCCCAAGTCAGATTCTTTTTTTCTGTTTTCAGCTGTCAGGATTACAGAAGCTTTCTGGTAACCTGCCACTACACAGACTCTGGAGATTTGAATATAATTTAACAAATGCAAATTGGCTGGATTACACTGACACTGGAACCTGGGARATGCAGTATTCTCCGAAGAATTAGAATATTTATTTCATGGTTCTGTTGAGTGTAAACAGTTAAAAGATATGACTCTGTATTAAACTATGCAGTACAGATTAGCTTTAAACCTGCAACTAAAAAAATACATTGTTCTCGGAAATGTGTTGATCAGTTTAGAAGTATATGCTTTTGTTGCTTGTAGTGGCAGCTACACAATTGCTAAATCACATCAGTTAACGCTTGCAAATGAGATTGTTCCAGACATGACAGACTGATAGCCTCAGAGGAACTGTCCCCACACAGACAAACTGGACTAAAGCAGTTTGCCTACCTTTTTTTTAATGAAGCCAGCGTGCACCACTTTAAAATCAGTAAAACATTTCGAACAGGACCAGGCTTTCCTTTGCTCTCAATCAGGGCTGTCTGTCATCCTGATGGGCACGGGGGGCTCAAAGGAGACTCTCACTGAATGACAGCAGCATGAATGACACCTGTATTGCATGGAGGAATTCACTCTCAGGAAAGACTCTTTTGCAAAATAAAAAAATAAAAAAAACTCATGCTTTAACTGAGGTGAAACATTTGTGAAGCTTTATTCAGAGACACAGAACAATCCTTGTAACTGTAGCTCAGTATGTTTTGGTTCACTTGTAGCCACATCTATAGCCATATTCTGTGTACTTACATCAGATTTAGGTTGGCTCTGCTACATTCATTCAGTGCCAGGAGCCTCCACTCACCAGTGTGAGCGCTGATCAGAGATAATACAAATGCAACAAAAGCTTGTTTCACTTCATGAAGGGTTTTTCTGCTGGCTTGTTCCATGAGAGACGACGGCTGAATTTAGAAGCATTTAAATGRCAGGAAAGAAGTGGAGAAGTTCAGTGTAAAAGGATGCTTACATTCAGTGTTTTAACATGCTGCTTTACAAATTGTCTGATCCAAACACCTAAAAACAAACTTTCTTACAGATGTAAACACATCAATGCATTGTTGGGATACGGTCCACATTTATGGTCAAAAGTTCTGAGATAGAAACAACTTATTGATTGTCATAAAGTTTGTTACATTAGTGTTTTTTTTATTTTCATTTTTAGTATCAATGCATGATGAATCCAAGTCTGCAGAGTTGGATAAAAATAGTTACATTTACTGAGTTACATTTACTTGAGTAACTTTTTTTGGGGGGAAATGTACTTTTAAGAGTACTTTTTACTTTGCTGTGCTTTTTAGTTTTATTTCAGTAATTTTATTGTAAAGTATCACTACTCTTGAGTAAAATTACTGAATACCCACTGTGAGTAACTTTACTGAATAAGGAACAAGCTTGTTTTCAGCAAAGAGTCACCACACACACGCACCTGAAGTTTTTGTAAGTTGCAGCAATATTTTACTGAAAGAAAAATGATTTGGAAACTTGTTTATTTTGTCTGAATTTGTTATTTTGTTATTCATATAAATTATTTTCATTTTGATCTTTAAAACACCAACATTTCCACGTTGCTTTGTATTTTTTGGTCCATCTGATGATGTCATTTTAAAATATTAAATGACTAATGTCTTGATCAGGAACTCAGTACTTGAGTAGCCTTTCTGCCGAATACWTTTTTACTCTTAGTTGAGTACAATGTTTGGGTACTCTACCCACCTCAGCTTATCTGTTGCATACTTTATACTTATAGAGAACATAATTTGTATGTATCATGTATTTACTGTGTATGTAAATACGAAACATACATGTTTGTATTTAAAAAGTGCCCATTAGGTTCAAGATATGTATTGGGTAAGTACCTGGCATTTACCCAATACTGCTAGGTAAGTACCAGGTACATGCCCGATAAGTGCCAAATATGTACCTGGTAATTACACAGTAAGTACTTAATAAGTTTTCAGTATGTATATCTGGTAAGAACCAGATATGTACATGATAAACATCCATACTTACCTGGTAAGTACTGGGTTGTGTTATGAATTACCAGATTTTTTTAGTTTTTATTTATTTTATATTTGTCAGATTTTTTTGTGGTGTACAGTAATTACATAAACCCAATACAATTCTTACTACAATCCTTTAAAACAAATGAAAGGCTTGTAAAGTCATTTTCTGGCAGAATAAGTCCTTCTTTTTCAACACCTCAGTAATTTGCTTCGGCTTTCTCTCATTTAACTTCTGAGCCAAATCCTGACTGACGAAAACCTTTTTTTGCAGACTCACTGCCTCCAGTTGGTCTAAATTTCTAGGTTTTTGTTTGCGCATCTGCTTCTGGAGGGTTGATCCCAAGTGTGGGATTAAAGTTTGGCAAGTTGGGTGGCCACAGACCAAAAATAAATACCCTTTGTTCCTCATTCTTAGTTATCCTTTTTGCTCATGGCTCTCTGCTCCACCTTAGCTGGAAAAATCATTGTTTGTCACCAAGCTGTTTTTGGACGGTTGGGAAACTTTCATGTACCCTTTATTATTTATGTCTGTGTTCTTAGTGAGCCCCCTCTCTTGGCAGAGAAGCAACCCCCCCCCCCCCCCCCACATGAATGCTTTACTGTTGGCATAAAACAAGACTGATGGTAGCACTCACCTTTTCTTCTCCAAACAATTCCTTTATTTATTTTTTTCCCCTGAATGACCTGAGCAGTCAGAAGCGAGCTTCATCAGAGAAAACGACTTTACCCCTCAGACCTCAGCAGTCTAATCCAGGCGCCTTTTGCAAAATATCAGCCTTTTTTGATGTCCTGAAGCCTTCTTCACAACAATTAAAACCATGTTATTGAAGTTTTAGATGAGCAAACAAACAGGTGATTTAGCTGCAGTGATATTAGCATCACTATTCTTAGCCATAAATCTATTTCTGTACACAACAGTGATGATTGCATGTTTCTTTCCACGATTAAYAAAGAAAAAAACAATGATTTCAAGCACCACTCACCTTTTAAAAACAGACTCATKCTGTGACTATTTGAATAAAAGGTCYAGACAGGAGTTACTGTACAACATTTTGGTTAACGTCATGTAAACTAACATTTTAAAGCTTGAACTCTTGGCAAACATAATTTTGAATYGCATGAAAGTGTTTTATAGATTCTTCTAGAAGAAATCTCAAAGTAAAGTTCATCAATGCAGCTGTGCACTCACTGGGCCTCAAAGTTGCACAGTAAGCAATTTTACTCTGAATAATAAATCAATACAAAACCACTTAAAACTGAGTTCAAAGTTAGTAATCATTTCATACATTTAGTTTTTTTTTCCTAAAAGAATGAGAATAAACATTCAAGCGATGCTTATTTCCCCTCAGTTTCACACTAAACCACATTAATCATTTAGACAAAAATACGACGTGAGGTTAAACAGCCTTGTCTACATTGTGCTTTATCTTTTAATGAGAGGCATTTGAAAACAACTTCTGTGCTTTGGAGGTGTTTTTTCTTTCCTAACAATATTTTTGGCAAGCTTGTTGGCCCTTTGTGTATCCTGACAGCTGAAACTAATGTGCGTTTAACCAAAAAGGCATCATTGTCTAAGCCTAGTGACTGTAATAGATCACCAAAGAGCCAGAAATCATCTGAACAGCCAGCTGCTTCGAAGGCAACACAAATAAAAATTAAAAAAATTTAAAAAAATCAGGATGTACACATGGAAGCAAAAGCAAGAGTGAGAGTGAGGTCTTGAAATGCTGRAATGTGTGTCCTTGCAAGTTTGGCAGGCAAAACTTGGGACATGTTGGTAGAGGAATGAGATGGTGCTGACAGGAGACAGAWACAGGGAAATCAGTGTTGGTGGTGATTTGGAAGTCTGCTCTAAAAATCTTTTTTTTTTTCCTTTTTCATTTTCGAGCCCAGCAAACAACCACAGCAGTCAACTGAACAGGCATGTAAAGCCAGTGCTACAAAACCAACTGCAGTGTTGTATAAAGTACCTCAAAGTGATACTTGAGTAAAAGTACAAGTATCTTATCATAAAAAGACTTTGGTAAAAGTTAAAGTCTTGTCTAAAATTTTACTTGAGTAACAGTCTTGAAGTCTTTGATATTTTTTGTACTTAAGAATCAAAAGTATATTTCGGACACAAAATCTACTTAAGCATTAAAAATAAAAGTACTGAGTAAAAGTGAGCAGTTAGATTTTCCAAAATGACATTTATTGGGAGGTGACTTCTCCAATTTTTTTTCTAACGGTGAGCAGCTGTGATAGGTTGTGTACAAGCTAATACTGCGTCAGAATGGTATATAGTTATACTTCTCATCCAACCACAATTAAATTCACTCGATCCAG